TCACACACACACACACACACACACACACACACACACACACACACACACACACACACACACACACACACACAAACCAAGCACAGACTAAGGACGAAAGATTGGATGTTCATTAGGAAAGACAAGAATAACCCATCCGGTGCTTGAAATCCTTAATCAAAGCAGCAGCCATACGAGGTCTGGATAATTCACACAGGTGGTACATTGTGGGAATTCCAATATCACGCCAGAATGTGCAATGTGTGGAAGAAATTGCTATTTTGTATGGAATATCTTTCTCACTCTCTACTAGGAGAGTTCAAGAAATATTTCCTCTTCCTTCATGGCATGGAGGCGTCTGGGCAGCACACACTTCCTTTCCATGAGGGGCATCCATGGACTGTTTTAATCCCACACTCACTTGATTTATCCTTTAACAAGTGAATTGTGTTAGCACTGTTCAAAGGAATGGTATGAAGGAGAGAGAATGCCCACCCCATGAGTCACTGCCTTTCTCCACTGAACCCATAGGGAGAAGAGCCATACGAACCCCTATTGCACCACTCTTAGAAGGGAAACAGGGTATAAGTCACTGGCAGCTTCTGGAGAAAATGGAGGAGGAATTAAGGTCATTTGGAGGGCCCCAAGGGTTAAGACCAGCAGTCGTAAGATCAAATCCACGCCCAAGGGTTAAGACCAGCAGTCATAAGATCAAATCCATGCGACGGAGTGAGCTCCCGTCACTTTGTCCCAGCTCCTCGCCAACCTAGCAGTTTGAAAGCATGCAAATGCAAGTAGATAAATAGGTACCACTTCGGTGGGAAGGTAAACAGCATTCTGTGTATAGCCGTGCTGGCCACATGACAACAGAAACTGTCTTCGGACAAGTGCTGGCTCTACGGCTTGAAAAACGGGATGAGCACCGTTCCCTAGAGTCGGACATAACTGGACTAAAAATGTCAAGGGGAACCTTTACCTTTAAGGATTAAACATCACACCCAGGACCTCCCCGTCACCTGAGCCATTCTGACAATCAGCAACAAGATATGGCAAATAATATACATTTCAAGAAGAAAGACAACACAAAATAAAAGGGTGGAGGGGAGAGAGAGGACCTTGTGGCACCTTTAAAACTAACTGATATATTTTGATAGAAGCTTTTACTAAATGTTCTTCATATGGATGAATCACCTGAGTCATCCTGACAATCAGCAACAAGATATGACAAATAATATACATTTCAAGAAGAAAGGGGGGAGAGAGGACCTTGTGGCACCTTTAAGACTAACTGATATATTTTAATATACGCTTTTACTAAATGTTCTTCATATGGATGAGTTAGAAGAAAGAGACTACAGGGTAAAACACTCACTCAAGGTTCTAAGATTTGCCTTTCAAGCCTAGCCACGATTTACGGTCCCTGATTGGTATTCTGTTCTTTTGAAGTTTGGTTCTGTAAACAGCTTTGGTATTCTGTTCTTTTGGAGTTTGGTTCTGTAAACAGCAATACAATTTAATTTAATTAGTCAACGTTCACTTGTGGTTTTGTTTTAGAAGGCTTAGGAATTTTGTGGAGAGTTTTACTCATTTTATTTCCTGGAAATCTCTTACCTAGTAAGTTTCTCCTCTACGCCTTCCTTCCTTCCTTCCTTCCTTCCTTCCTTCCTTCCTTCCTTCTTTCCTTCCAATAAAAGAGGGCCTTGGGACACACACAGGTTGGGGGCCATGCACAGCCCCAGGACGGCACATTGCTCAACCTGTTTGCTGTTATTCTTCCTTCCTATGGATACCCATTGTGTTGCAGTGGACAGTGTCAGATTAGGATTCATAAGATTCCGGGTTTGAATCCCCGCTCAGCCATGGAAGATCCCTGGATTATAATACTGCCCAGAGTAGACCTTGGGTCTAGATGGGTGGGATAGAACTCTAATAAATAAATAAATACCTGCAAATGGGCAGAGAAGTGGGTTCCAGCTTCACATTAGTTTTGGCGGGCAGGGTTTATGTCTCAGCCCTGCGACAGTCGGTATAATTTTCACCTTGGCCTGGACTGACCCAACTCTCCAGGTGCCTGTCTAATTTGTCTGGCTCCGTGTCATTGCCTTAGCCGACCTGACTCTCCAAACTTGACAAATCAAGCAGCTGCTTGGCATTAAAGAGTAATGAGGCATTAAAATGCATGAACCACAGCCTCTTAACGAAAGTAGCCTTCTCGAAGGGAACCTACACATAAACACAAACATAGTGAACCTGGAGGCTTGGCATTCCCCAGGTAGTCGTGGTGGTTGCTACCAAACCTCTCCAAATGGAAGAGCTGAAGTTCAATGGCTTTTCCATACATGGGAGAACGGCAATATTCATTGGAAAGGACTAGAAACAGTTGAGGGACCTCAGTATGTTAAACTTGGAGCACAAAAGTCAGAGGTGATAGAATGGCCCCCCTCCAGATGTCTGAAGGGTGTCCTGTGAAAGACAGAGTTAGCTTCTCCGTGGTGGCTCAGAAAAGGAGGACATAGAAAAACTGCTGGACAACTCAGTGGTTTAGCTGCGTCGCCAGAGGTTGGGAGTTCGATTCCCCCACTGGGCCTCCTTGGCAGGGGCTGGACTGGATGATCCATAGGGTCCCTTCCAGCTCTGCAATTCTAAGATTATTTAGTATTATTACTATATAAACCAGTGGATTCTAACTGTAAGAAAAGACACTATGACTAAACATTGGGAAGAATCTTCTGACGGTAAGAGCTACTCAATAATAATGTCTCAAAGTGTGGTAAAAAGTTACTCAAGGGGGAAAACTGGAATTTTGAGCAGAAACTGTAAGAAACAGTTTCTGGTTTGTCTCCTGTTGTGTCCTGGATCAGATTCAAGGCTCAAATGCTCACGTATAATGCCCTCCATGGTTTGGGACCCTGGTACTTGTCGGAGCATCTCTCCCCAAAGTCATCTGCCTGAGCCACCAGGTCCTCCCAGGCTGAGGCTCCTCTGGGTGGCCCGAAAGTCACCCACAAGAGGCAGGGCCTTCTTCGCTGTGGCACCGACCTTGTGGAACAAAGTCCTGGAGGAGCTACGCCGGGCTCTTTCTCTGCTAATGTTGAGGAGGCAACTTAAACTGCAGCTTTTTAGGAGGGCCTCCCACACCAACCCTGGTTGACTGTCCCACCATTATGGGAAGATGGGTGCCAGAGCCATTTTGTTTTAACAATTTGAATTGTTCCTAATCTGTTATCATTTTATGTATGTTTTGGCATATGTTTATTCTTCGTAAGCCACCCAGAATAATGCCCAGCACTAATGCAGTGGTACCTAAATAGAATTTTTAAAATGAACGAATAAATGAATGAAAGAAAGAAAGAATTCCAGAAGTCCTTTGCTATGGATTGCCGAATAGGATGCAGGTTGGACTAGATCAGAGGTCCCCAAACCCCAGTCCGCGGCCCGGTATCGGTCCGTGGCCTGAGCCAGAGTGGGCTGCGGAGAGAGACTTCACCCTCCCGCATACACTCCCCCACACACAGCCAATTTGCACCTGTGTGCGCATGTAGAGCACTGCACCACCCTTCATGCATGCACACGTGTGTGCCCGCACAAGCGCTGCACTGCCCTTCACACATGCCCACATGTGGAGAGGGCTGCCCCACCTTCCCCAGCTGGTCCGCGGGGCTAAAAAGGTTGGGGACCACTGGACTAGATGACTCTTCCAACTCTAGCATTTTACGATTCTATGAGAACTTGCGTGAGTCTCTGGAAATGCACAGCATTATCCTATTTTATCTCAAGAACACAGAGGGGGAAAAATTAGCAGACCCAGTATCACCCATCGTACAAATTCAAGCCAATTTTTTCTCATCCATTTCCACACACTGCCTCCTTCCCCACAC